AGGTGGTGCGGTTGGCGCAGGATAGAGCAGGGTTTAGAGCTGTTGTGCATAGGGTCGCTATGAGTCGGAAACGACTCGACAGCACATAACAACAACAATAGTCCAGAAAACTAGGTACACAGTAAAGTGAACTGGGTAGAGAGGAAATTATACAAGAGTAAGTATTGTTTTTAAGCGATCTGGGGGAAGGCCACGAGACAAATATGTAACAAACAAATGAATGAAAATCCAACTTTTCTGTAAACTTTCATTAAAATCATAATTTAAAAATAATAATTTTTTTAAAACCCTGTTCAAAACCTTTCAGAGTTAAAAAAAAAAAAGCGCAGCAAAACATACACCAGTTAAATAGTTCCTTAAAAAAAGAAACAAAAAAAGACCTGGAGATATGGAAGAATATACCATGCTAATGGATAGGAAGACTCAATATTGTGAAAATGACAATCTTCCAAAGGCATCTACAAGTTCAATGCAATACCAATGCAAACACAAACGCCATTTTTCAACGAAATGGAAAAGGCAGTTTCCAATTTCATCTGGAATGGAAAGAGACTCTGGATAAATAAAGCTCTCCTGAAAAATAGAAAAAAGTAGGAGACATCACACTCCTTAATTTCAAATACTACTACACAAGTTGTGGTGGTTAAGAGAGCATAATAACGTTACAGTGACAAACACACTGATCAATGGAATACATTGAGAACCCAGAAATCAGCTCATCTATCTATGGTTAATTGATTTTTGACAAGAAGACAAAAACAGTTAAATGGGAAAATGATAACTTTTAAAAAAATTGTGTTGGAAAAACTGGAAAACAATCTGTAGAAAACTCAAGCAAGATCCTCACCTCACAACATAAACAAAGACCAACTTAAGGTAGATCAAGGAACTAGGGGTAAAACCAAAGACTATAAACTTCATCATGGAAAAACTTGAAAGAATCCTAGAAACCCTAATGCTCAGTATGAACAGTCTCCCAAGCATAACGAAAAACAAAAAACCAGGAGAGAAAAAAAAATAGATTAGTGAGACCTTGTAAGAATCAAATCCCTATGCACATCTAAAAACGTCTCCAAAAGGGTAAAAGGAAAGCCACAGACTGGGGAAAAATATTTGGTAATGTAGTATCTAACAAGAGACTCATATCTAAAATTTATAGAATACTCCAGAACCTTAACAAGAAAAAAGTACAACAATCCAATTGCAAAATGGGCACAGGATAGGAACAGATACTTCACCAAAGAAGACATTCAGATGGCAAACAAGCACATGAAGAAATGTTCAATATACCTAGCTTTCAGAGAGATGCAAATAAAAGCGAATAGGAGATATCATCTCAGCCTAGCAACAATAGCAAAATTCAAGAGAGCAGCAAACAATAAATGTTGGCAAGGTTGTGAAGAGACTGGAACCCTTATTCATCACTTGTGGGAGTAAAAAATGTTGTAGCCACTATGGAAGGTGGTGTGGTACTTTGTCAGAAAGTTGGAAATAGAAGTATACTTTGACCTAGCAATTGCACTACTGGGAATACACCCTAAGGAAACATGAACTACCATCTAAACACATGTATGCACACCCATGTTTATTGCTGTGTTATCCACAATAGCAAAGAGATGAAAATAATCCAAGTGCCCATCAAAAAATGAATGGAGTGTGTATATTCACACAATGGAATACTATGGGGCAGGGAAAAAGAAAGAACTCACTCGTAAAACATTACACCACGTGGGTGACCCTGGAGGCCATTATGCTGATGAAGTATCTCAGTCTCAAAGGATAAATACTGCATAATATCACTGCTCTAAAGAAGGACTGACATAGGGGGCTGGGAGGAGA